CATTTATTTGCTTTTGGATTTTTTTTCTTCTTTAGGAGTTCTTTTCTAATTGGTTTCTACTTCAGTTTTGCTTGTCTTATTTTTTTTTAAAAATCATCATTTTTCTATTGCCCACTACATTACTTATTCCCAATATCCTTTTGTTGTTCTTTCAAATTTGCTGTCTGTTAATGTATACTTCCTTTTATTTTTATGTTTCTAGCTATTGTTAGTTCGCTCTCGCTCTCTCTCTCTCTCTCTCTCTCTCTCTCTCTCTCCTCTTTTTTATTTTTTCTAAGTGCCTGTCATTATTCATAAGGGAAATATGCCATCTCTTTGAAGTATTTTCTCACCAAGAAAGTTATGTTGCTTTTCTCGTTTGAAAGGGCTCCTCTGTCAATCCAAACACATATTTAAATGCTTGTTCTCATGTACAGAGAAAGGTGAAAGCCAAAACTACAGATTCTGTGAGGTGTCTCTCTCCCATATCTAATGAGGTATAATTTCAGAAATTAAGACCATATAAAGTATTCAGTAAAAATTTTTACACTAAATAGTGAGGTATGCCTGGCCAGCATAGCTCAGTGGTTGAGAGTCTACCTAGAAACCAAGAGGTCCTGGTTCGATTCCCGGTCAAGGTACATGACCAGGTTGCAGGCTTTACCTCCCTTGCAGGAGGCAGCCAGTCAATGATTCTCTCTCATCATTGATATTTCTATTTGTCTCTCCTTCTCCCTTCCTCTCTGAAATCAATAAAAATACATTTTTTTAAAAAGTGAGGTATATTGCCCAAACTGGTTTAGCTCAGTGGATAGAGTGTCAGCCTGCAGATTTAAGGGTCCCAGGTTCGATTCCAGTCAAGGGCATGTGCCTTGGTTGCAGGCTCATCCCCAGTAAGAGGTGTCCAGGAAGCAGCTGATCAATGTTTCTCTCTCATCGATGTTTCTAACTCTCTATTCCTCTCTCTTCCTCTCTGTAAAAAAATCAATAAAATATTTTTTTTTTAAAAAAGAGTGCGGTATAATGTAGATAGAAAACAATTTATTTCTGTATTTTTTAGCAAAGTATGTACAGATTTTAAATATAATTCAGATTTTTTTCTATAATATTACTGACAAAGTGTTAATATTCATTATACTTAACAGTTTTAGGTATTCCATATGAAACATTTTTTTAAATTTTATTCTTATAATTACTGTAATATAGAGTTTATTCTTAAAACGATTTGAATATAAGGTATACTTAGAGTTAAGAAACACTTTCATTAACCTCAATATAATATCATTATAATATGGGTTAAATTGCTCACATATAAATGTTATCCCAGTATTTGATAAAACTAAGCTTAAATAAACAAATTATTGGAAAAAATATAGTAATCTATTATTTGGAAATTTTAAACACTTTGATTTACCACGGCTTCTACAATAAAGAGGAATTTTAAGTCGGAGTTTAAGAATTTTCTGTTTATTTTTGTTTGGTTGATTTTCCATACGAAGTTTCAAATAAGTTTGTATAGTTCTGAATTTTCTGTTATTTTTATAGGGGCTACATTTAAATTATTCATCAATTCAGGAAAAGTTCATCTTTATTATATTGTATTTCTATGCAAGAATAAGACGTGCCTTTTCATCCATTTATATTTCTTTTCAGTTTATTCAAAACTTAAAAAAAACTCTTATTTTATTTATAAAATTTTCATCAAATGTATTTTCCCCTTTTAAATAGACTTGTTATGGTTCATAGCAAAATTGAGCAGGAATTAGAGTTCCTATATATGTCCAGTCCCCACGAAAGCACCATCCACCATCCACAGTGCACGCCAAAAAGTCACATTTGTTATATCAATGAACCTACAATGAGACATCATTATCATTCAAAGTTCATAATTTACATTAGGGTTCACTCTTAGAATTGAACGTTCTATGGGTTTGGACAAATATATAATGGCCTGTATCCACCATTACAGTATCATACAGAAATTTTTCACTGCTCTAAAAATCCTCTGTGCCTTAGCTATTCATCCTTCCCTCCCCCAACACCTGGCAATCACTGATCTTTCTACTGTCTTCATAGTTTTGTCTTTTTCATAGAGTTAGAATCAGACAGTATGCAGCCTTTCCAGATTGACTTCTTCCACATATGTAAGATGCATTTAAGTTTCCCCCCATGTGGTTTCATATCTTGATAGCTCATTCCTTTTTAGCACTAAATAATATTCCCTTGTCTGTATCCAGTTATCTACTGAAGGACATCTTGGTTGCTTCCAATGATGGCAATTTTGAATAAAGCTGCTATAAACATCCATGTGCAGGTCTTTTAGGACATAAGTCTTCAGCTCATTTGGGTAAATATCAAGGAAGGCAATTGCTGGATGGTATAGTAAGAGTAAGCTTTCATTTGCAAGAAAATACCACACTGTCTTCAATAGTGGCTGTAACATACAGTGGCTGTATTGCATTCCCAATAACAATGAATGAACCACATCCCTGTCAGCATGTGGTGGTGTCAGTGTTGTGGATTTTGGCCATTCTATTAAGTATGCAATGGTATCTCATTGTTTTAATTTGCTTTTCCCTGATGACATATGATGTGGAGCATCTTTTCATATACTTATTTAACATGTGCATGTCTTCATTGGTGAGCTATTTTTTAAGGGCTTTAGCCCACTTTTTAAATCAATTTGCTTGTTTTCTTATTGTTGAGCTTTAAGAGTTCTTTGTATATTTTGGATAGGAGTCCTTTATCAGCTTTGGTTTTGCAAATATTTTCTGTGGATTGTCTTTTTATTTAGTTGATATTGTCTTTCACAGAGCAGATGTTTTTAATTTTAATTAAGTCCAGCTTATCAATTATTCCTTTAATGGATTGTGCTTTCAGTATTCATTAAAAAGTCATTGCCAAACCAAAGATCATCTGAATTTTATCCTAATTTATCTTCTAGGAGTTTTATAGTTCTAAAATTTACCTTTAGATCTGTGATAAATTTTGAGTTAAGTTTTGTAAAGTGAATATATATAACATGTATATATATATTTGTAAAGTGAATAATATATAACATGTATATATATTCAATAATAATAAAAACATAATATGCTAATTAGACCAGATGTCATTCAGGATGGCCTTACTTCCAGACAAAGCCACAGTGGGCGGGGACTGTGGCAGAGGCAGCAGAGGCCCCTGGCCATGGCAGTGGTAGGCAGGGGCCGGAGCTAAGGCTCTTGCACAAATTTCGTGCATCAGACCTCTAGTATATATATAAAATCATGTGGAGGTCCAGTTTGTCCAGCACTATTTTTTGGAGAAGACCATGTTTGCTCTTTTATATTGTCTTTGTCCCTTTGTCAAAGATCAGTTACAGCTACAATCTTATTATTGCAATTCATATATACAAAAGATGCAATTAGCCGTATCATAGCTTGCTGACCTTAATGAGTTAATTCAGTATCCAAATAAACCTTGAGGCCAAGCAGTAGCATGGGCTCTGTGAAGTTCTGGCTCAATAATACCTGTGAAATTTGAGCTCATATTAAATATGCCTGAAAATAATACATTTGGGATTTGGCCTCTGGCATCAGATCAGGCCTGACTCTGCTATCTGGAGTTGAGAGTTTTGCCTCAAGTTCTCATAACAGGACTATAGCACTATAGGACTATAGTATCAGCAAGAATATTATTATTGCTTTAGTGAAGAAAAATAGTGCAGTTCCTATTGAGCTCATGGTATCCTGTCTTCTTTCTGGTCATGTTTTCTCCCCTGAAATAGGAGAACCCTGCTGTCTCCAGCAACTTTAGCTATCTTCCACCATGACCCAATCTAGTAGTTTCTTTCTAGTCTAGTCTTTCTGTCATTCTTAGTCACATCAAAAGCATTTGTCCAGCCTTTACTTGTCTCTTTCTGTATGTGTTCAAGTACGACAACCTCAACATGGCTAATGACATGACCAGGTCACAGTTTTAGTTGTCTCAAATCTCAGAAAAGAAGACTCAGTCAGAACAGCCTGATTGGTCATTAAGGTTGGCTGCAGCAAACTGTTCTGACCACCTTGGCCAGGGGCCACTTGTCAGGACAAGAGGATTGGACTTTTTAAAAATATATTTTCATTGATTTCAGGGAGGAAGGGAGAGAGAGAGAGATTAATCTTGAGAGAGAATCATTGATTGGATGCCTCCTGCATGCCCCTACCAGGGATCAAGCCAGAAACCTGAGCATGTGCCCCAAACTGGAATCCAACCGTGACCTTCTGGTTCATGGGTCGACCACTGAGCCACACCAGCCAGGTACTAGAAGGTTGGGTTTTATATCCTCTAAGAGACAGCTCCCTTTCCACTTCGTCCTGTTGATGAACTAACCATTGTCTCTATGGGGTTACATCCTCATCGTCTGTGTGTCTTACAGAGTGAACAGCCCACTAGGGACATGGTGGTATTTAGCCTAATGTACTTTAATTAAGGCTAGACTTGAACCACTTTCTTAACTTATGGCACAGTTCCTGAATCTGCAAAGCATAAGACTGAATAAACAATGTTGGTACACTTAATAAAATCCTAGATACAAACCATGTCTGTTAAGCCAGGATCATAGAACCATAGAATGGTGGTTACCAGGATCTGGGTGAGAGAAAAATGGGGAGTTTCTATTCAGGTCTATGTCTGTTCCAGTTTTATATCAAGGACTCTAGTATATTTAGGGTTTACTGAAGAGAAAGCTCTCATTTAAGACCAATTAGTGATTTTTTTTCACTCCTGAAGTAACTGGAATAAGTGCTAAAAGCCTGTTGTACAATTTCATGCCTATAGTTAACAATACTGTCTTACACGCTTAAAAACTTTGTTAAAATGGTAGACCTAAGATTAAATGTTCTTACTACAAAAAAGATTCACATTTAATAATTACATTTCAATTTAATTGGAAACAAAAATGTCAATGCTCTAATGTTTAATGCAAGAGTTTATAGATATTAAGTCTTCTCTTAATCTCCTTAAGAAATGTCAACATTCTTTTCTTTTCTTTTTAGGACTTTCATATGTGGAGTAAATGGTAATTAAAATGTGCAGGATGACAAGATGGAGCAAACAGTGCTTGTACCACCAGGACCTGACAGCTTCAACTTCTTCACCAGAGAATCTCTTGCGGCTATTGAAAGGCGCATTGCAGAAGAGAAAGCTAAGAATCCCAAACCAGACAAGAAAGATGACGATGAAAATGGCCCAAAGCCAAATAGTGACTTGGAAGCTGGAAGGAACCTTCCGTTTATTTATGGAGACATCCCTCCAGGGATGGTGTCAGAGCCTTTGGAGGACCTGGACCCGTACTACATCAATAAAAAAGTGAGTGTTTTTTATCAGGCATGTTTTGCTGCTAATTGCCTACTGCATACCTTGGATGGTTGTAGCACCGACACAGGCTGAATTAGCACAGTCTTAAGTACCCTTCTGTTTAAGAAATAAAACATGTTTGCATGCGTTTATGCACATACGTGAGAATGAATATATCATAACCGACGGAGCTTTCCAAATGCACCGCCACAGATACCTAATAACAAATTTAAGTTATAGGCAGCTAATTTAATGAATTAAAAATGTCTACCCCAAGATTATATTTATTATAAAATTTTATGTTTTCTGTACTAGAAAATCCTGGAATTATCACATTAAGACTTCAAAAATATTATTATTAATTTCTTATGGAACAAAATTTGATGCCACAAGTGTTTCCAATTTCTAAAGCATGTTATAGGTAAATCAGTTAATTTCTGGAACATTTGTATATAAACTCCAATTTTAAAAAATGACAACTTTTGGTAAAAATATATTTATATTGATAAGAATTAAGAAAAATATAGTATTCTGAAGAATGTATAAGATATTTTAATGCTTGCATTTTCTGTTTCCATGCTTGAAATAAGTATCTTGTATTAAGCACCCAATCTTTTATTAAGACCATGATTTCACCAAACCAAGAAGAAGAGACTACAGAAAAGGATAAAACAAAAAATGATCATTGTATTGATTTTGGATTGCAACATATTTTTAACTTTTTCATCTGACACAATATATTTTTGAACTCTTGGTGGAAGGGTAAGGCACAAAGATTGTAATTGAGCAAATGAAATATTTTAGTTGGACATGGACCTTAAAATACACTAGGCTCTGTATGGTGCTGACACAGTTCTTAATAACATGAAATTAGCCTTTGTCAAATGCATAAGTTTGGCAGTTTTAATATGTGGATTTGAGACAGTCTTGTAAATCACTTCTCATTGCTATAGTTTCAAAGATAAAAAAAAAAACCCTCACAAAAGAATGACTAGCACTGTGTTTGTGTGTGTTTTTTTCTTTTAAGTTTCAGGATATAGCTGGTTTAAGTGTAACACACTTTTTACCAAGCATTTGCCCATTTTACATTATAGGAAGAGATAATCATATTCCAAAGATTTTATTTTTCTCTATTTAACATTATTTATAATAGTGCCAAATCTTAGTAGGTAAGAGATTATCCATTTCATAACTGCCTTTCAAATTATAAGAAAAGTTGCACTTTTAAATCAGTCCTTTGGAATATAATTTAATATATCACCTGAAATGCTAAAGCCCAAATTAAACAAACTAGGAGGGGTTTATTTGTATGAGGAAAGTAAAAATGCAGATAATCAAGTTATTTAAACATTTCAACTTATTGAAAAGTACTTCATTATTGAGGTAATGACTCTGCTGTGTTCTCGACAGAAATTTATTCACCCCATGGAGTGTGCTAGTTTATTTGTAGATATTGGACATGTTTAGTCTGTTCAAAGACTTCTCTTATTATGGGTTAGGGGGATCGATCCCCAGAAGGCCTTTTGCTACTCAAAGACACCCAGCCCGCATCTCTCCAGCAGTAAACACCTTCTAAAAATTGTTAAAGCTACACAGGGTCTTCATCAAACAGGGCTGGAATCTAGCATCCCAGCTCATATGCTGTATCCTTACTTGTGAAACAACAAATGAATGGTGTTTTGTTTTGTTTTCTTTTTCAAATGAATGTTTTGATAAAGACCAAACTAACAAAATGCAGTTTGACAAAAGCAGAGATTCTTCATGTGAAAATCAGATAACCTAATTCATATTTCCCTTTAACTCAGGGGTGGGGAATGCTCAGCCTGTGGGCTGTGTAAGGCCTGAGAAATAATTTGGTCTGGCCCTGCCAAGGCATGAGGGGGTGAGTTAATTAAATGTTTGACCAAAGACAGCAGGCTAATTTTTAAGTGGATAATTTTGTATGATGCAAATGATGTTAAAAAAATATCCAAATGGTCTTTGGCAAAAAAACGGTTTCCCACTCCTGCTTAAATTAAAGTTTTCAGACTGATAAAATTTGTTATCTTGAGAGGATGTCCCCAAAATAAAATTATTGGTTCATAATAAGTGATATATAATCCTCTATACTAATAAAAGGGTAATATGCTAATTAGACCAGATAGACCGGACATCTTCCAGACGCTGTTTTGGACAAAGCCACAGTGGCGGGGGCTGAGGCAAAGCGGTTAGGGGCAATCAGGCCAGCAGGTTAGGGGTGATCAGGCAGGCAAGAAGAGTGGTTAGGGGCAATCAGGCAGGCAGGCAGGTGAGCAGTAAGGAGCCAGTGGTCCAGATTGCAAGAGGTCCTGGAATAGAGAGTGTTCAGGCCAGGCTGAGGGACCCCCCCACCACCATGCACAAATTTTGTGCACCAGGCCTGTAGTATATAATAAAAGGGTACTATGCAAATTGACCCTAAGAGTGGAATGACCAGGAACAACCAGTCACTATGACATGTACTGACCACCAGGGGGCATACACTCAATGCAAGAACTGCCCCCTGGTGGTCAGTGTGCTCCCACAGGGGGAGCTCCACTCAGCCACAAGCCAGGTTGAAGGCTGTGAATGCAGTGGCAGTGGCAGGAGCCTCTCCTGCCTTCTCAGCAGCTCTAAGGATGACCAACTAATGGCTCCCTAGGGGGAGCGGGCCTAAGCCATTAGTTGGACATCCCCCAAGGACTCCTGGGCTGCCAGAGGGATGTCTGACTGCCAGCTTAGGCCCGATCCCCAGGGACAGGTGGACATCCCCCGAGGGGTCCTGGACTGTGAGAGGGTGCAGGCCGGGCTGAGGGACCCTCCTGAGTGCATGAATTTTAGTGCACCAAGCCTCTAGTAAAGAATATAAAGGCAGATGGAAAACAAAATTATGCAACCCCTTTTTAATACTGAAACGAATGGTCTTAAAACTGGGTGTGAAAGACCAACTCTGATGAAATGACTAGTCAGCCCAATTCTTGTGCTGATGTTACCCTTATAAACTTTGTTAGGTTCACATTCAGACTTGCCATTAACATCTTCTATCCTTATCTTCAAATGCACATTGTGTGAGGAAGGAAAAATATTTTGGAATTTTGGAACAAATCACAGTGAGCAAGTAGAACAACCTGATAAGAAAAATATTGTTATCAGGAAGGAGTTTTCTCTAAGGTAAGACACTTCCATTGCTTTCACATTGAGCTGACATTAAATGATTCTTCAAATGTAAGTCATTCAAAGCAATGCAAATGAAACTTTTACAAGTTCTTTAAAACCAATATGGTATATTTAGGATACCTGATTGAGTTGTGTTTGAAATTTCACTATTTTGCATTTTCATATTTTAAAACTTTCTCTAGTTGCCTATACAGTTGTCTAGTCTTAAATTTTCTTTTGTAATTGTATTATTTCATATGCAGGGATAATCTTAAATTCTGAATTTTTTTGCTATGATTAAGGTTTGAATGCTTAGCAAAATAATAACCTTTTAAAAATAATAATTTTTCTTTTGATATTTGATGACTAATTTTATTTTAGTGACTTGAATATCTGAGATTGGAAGAGTGATCATCATTAAAACAATGCAATACACATGCACAGGACTCTGGCATAGCTATAGGGTCTAATTGTGGAAATGTCACTAGAGAAAATGCTTCTTAGAATGAGATTTCCCACTGTTACTGATATTGAGGATGTGGATTGTATTGCCTCAGTGAGTTGGAATATGTAAACCTCAGTTAAGCCAGTGACTGTCCTAAGATTTTTCTCAAGTACGATAATTAAGGGGTCATTCTTATCTATATACAGTTTCTAGTTTCTTTCTTAATAATATACAGAATAAACAAAGCAATCCTATATAATAAAAGCCTAATATGCTAAGTGTCCGGTCATCCAGTGACCAGTCAACTGTTCAGCCAATCAAAGTGTAATATGCTAATGATACGCTAAGGCTGCTCAACCACTTGCTATGATGTACACTGACCACACGGGGGCAAACTCTCCTACTGGTAAGTTAGCTTGCTGCTGGGGTCCAGCTGATTGGGACTGAGCAAGATGGGCCGGACACACTCTGGAGCCCTCCTGCTGTCCCCCTCCAGCCCTGATCATGCACCGATGGGGTCCCTCGGCCTGGTCAGTGCCCTCTTGCAATCCGAAACCCCTCAGGTGATGTCAGAGAGCCGGTTTCAGCCAGATCCCTCAGGCTACTTCCCTCAGAAGGATTCCAGATGCAGGGCTTATGGCTGGAGAGCACTGCTGTGGTGGCATGAACCTCTCCCAATCGGGACTGATTGGGCACAAGCCCATGGCAGGCACAGTGGGGCCAGGATGAGTGGGAGCGGCAGGTAGGAGCTGCAGGCAGCATTGGACTGTGGGTTTCAGCCCGATGCCCACAGGCCACCCCGAGGGACCCCATGTATGCACTAATTCGTGCACTGGGTCTCTAGTACTACTATAAAAACAGTTGCAGGATCTCTTTTTTCTGTTATACTTTTGATTAAATTACATATATGCAGCATAGATGGAATGTATTGTGTAAGAAATAGAAACAACGCTAAGCTCTCTGTCATCTTCTACAAAGACAATTTCAGTGAGCTTATGGAATTGTCACTGCTGATGGTGTATTTCCAGATGGCATATGCCCACATATTTTTATCTTCTTTGCTCCAGTTTAAAGTGTACAAATTACATAATGTTAAAAATGTTACTGAAATTGTTAAAGTAGTTTAATCCATGATCAGTGACACCATCTCATGAGCATTCCTGGTGCATGGAAGCATTAGGAACTTCCCAGACCCTCAGATGCTTTAAGCCTTCAGAAGCCCAAGGTAAGAACTAAAGAAAAGAAAAGAGTGCTATCAGAATATTGTCATAGAATTCCCCATGCCATGTGAGCTCTGGTCCAGTGTTCTTCAGAACATCATTCAAGGTTCGATTCCTTTTACTTGTTTATTTACTTTAGTTGTGTGGCAAGGCATATTTGAGCTTGTGAACTCACCTCCCCCGGCCCCCTCCAT